CTCTACAAAAAATAATTTAAAAAAATAAAATGGAATAACAAGGACTGAAAAAAAATACATGTTAAAACTCAATATGTGGATTTAGCATCAGAATAGACTTACAGAGGGTCAGAAGTGAAATGGAAAATAAATCAGTAGAAGATATCCAGAATGAAATAAGGAGATACAAGAGGAAAGAAATAGAGGAAAATCATGAGACATGGGCTATAGAAGCAAAGGATAACACACGGGATTGCGTTCCCAGCAATGGAGGTGTGAGGAAACAGGCAGAAGAAATCACAGCAGAGAAGTTTCCAGAACAGATTAGACAGGAAGGCCTGTGACTCCCAAGTAAGCAAACAACAAAAACAATACTCTGGTACACCAATCACAGTGAACCTACAGAAAACCAAAGATGAGAACAGCCTAACCCCAGAGCCTGTGGCCGCAGCCGACGTCAGCATCTCTCTTCTCGCGGTTCCACATCCATGCCCGGGCCACACCAAGGCCATGCTGCTCTTCACACAGGCTCCAGGCTTTCCCACCTTTCTCACCTTCGTACCTTCTACCCTGCACCTTCGCAATACTCAGAACTCACGACTGACAGTGCTCATCGACTGACAGTCCTGTCTGCAGGGGTGCCCAGATCGTATATTACCTGCAAGTGCTACTTCAAATTTAAAACTAAAAAGAAAATAAAGTCATTAGGGCCACGAGACACACCTGAGTTTCAAATCATTTTCCTCACTACGGAAATAGCATGTAGCCTGGCTCACGTGAAAACATAAAAATGTCAGGCCCAGACCTTACCATTCTCCATTCCAGTAGAGGCATTGCTTCAGTCATTAGCTGGTGAAGGATATTTCCTGTAAACTTTCCTTTTTTCAACATTAATATTCAATTACAAGATTTTTTTTCTTTAGGAAATAGAAACAATTTTGTGCTTAATAGAATCTAATACTTTAATATATCCTTATACATAAAAATATGTGGCATGCGCCTGTAGTCCCAGCTACTCAGGAGGCTGAGGCAGGAGAATTGCTTGAACCCGGGAGGCAGAGGTTGCAGCGAACCGACATTGTGCCATTGCACTCCAGCCTGGGTGACAGAGCGAGACTCCATCTCAAAAAAAAAAAAAAAAAAAAAAAAGAGGCCATGTTAAGTTCCAATTTCAGTTTAACACAGATTATCATTCAATCCTTTCACAATTCCACTGTATACTTTTAAAATCAGGAAACTAAATTTTAGTGTTTCTGTTGACTCATTACAGCATATCAACATAAACTTCTCTCCCCATGCTCATATCAAAAGATCTCAAACTACTGGGAAGTTGTATATTTAAAATTTAATGTTGCTGGCTGGGCACTGTGGCTCAAACCTGTAATTCCAGCACTTTGGGAGGGCCAAGGAGGGCAGATCACTTGAGGTCAGGAGTTTGAGACCAGCCTAGTCAACATGGTGAAACCCCATCTCTACAAAAAACTTAAAAAACTAGCCAGGCGTGCTGGCGGGTGCCTGTTGTCCCAGCTACTCAGGAGGCTGGGGCAGGAGAATCACTGAAATTCAGGAGGTGGAGGTTGCAGTGAGCCGAGATCACGCCAGTACACTCCAGCCTGGGCGACAGAGTGATACTATGTCTCAAAAAAATAAAATAAAATAAATTTAGTGTTACCTTTTAAAAATTTGTATTGTTCTTCCTTCTAACCTGTGAAATAATAAACGATGGTCCTTCATCTATATTGCTATCTAAATTTGTGCCCCTAAAAAACTCACTCAACCTTTAAGCAAACAAATCAGGACTTTTTTTTTTTTTGAGATGGAGTCTCACTCTGTTGCCCAGGCTGAGTGCAATGGCGTGATCTCAGCTCACTGCGAGCTCCACCTCCCGGGTTCACACCATTCCCCTGCCTCAGCATCCCAAGTAGCTGGGACTACAGGCACCTGCCACCACGCCTGGCTAATTTTTTGCATTTTTAGTAGAGATGGAGTTTCACCCTGTTAACCAGGATGGTCTTGATCTCCTGACCTAGTGATCTGCCCGCCTCGGCCTCCCAAAGTGCTGGGATTACAGGTGTGAGCCACCATATCCAGCCCACAGATCAGGACTTTAAGCCTTTGTCTTTAATTTTAGAGTCTAAAAACGAAACAAGTTTACATGAGAGGTGTTTAGAAACAAATGAAACTTCTTCTAGGATAAATCACTTGTTTAAATTCTGCTAAAGTCCCAAGGCAGTAGTTTCCAAACTTTGCTTTGCATTAGAATCACCTCAGGAGTTTAAAAAAATCCTAGTGGCCAGGGTACACCCCGTATTAATGACACCAGCATGTCTGGGATTGGGGCCAGGCGGCCATGTACCTTACAGATCCCCAGCTGAGTCCAATGAGCAGCCCAGTCAGGAAGCACTACCCTAGGGCATTAGGAGTTTTTGATTCATTCAAGCAAAGGCTGTGTGGTGAACTGTAATAAGGAATGGATTAGGAAGAAAATCCTGTGAAAGAGGGGAAACCTAGGTCTTGTTCCTTCTGCTATTGGCGAGATGCAATACAGAAGGTGGATTATTTGCTCTCACTAGGTGTTCATCTCCTCCATGTTAAGGACGGGGTGCTGCACTGGGCTGGGGAGCTGCTGGCCAGGAGGGTCTCAAGTGGGGCCAGAGAATATGTATTTATTTATTTTTGAGACAGAGTCTCACTCTGTTGCCCAGGCTGGAGTGCAGTGGCATGATCTCAACTCCATTGCAACCTCCCCTTCCTGGGTTCAGGTGATTCTCCCACCTCAGCCTCCTGAGCAGCTGGAATTACAGGTGCCCACCACCAGGCCTGGCCAATTTTTGTGTTTTTTGTAGAGACGGGATTTTGCCATGTTGGCTAGGCTGGTCTCGAATTCCTGACCTCAAGTGATCCGCCCGCCCCAGAGTGCTGAGATTATAGGCATGAGCCACCATGCCCGGCCCAGAAAATCTGCATTTAAAACCTGCTTTGAGTGATTCTTCACACAGAACCAGAAGTGGTGGATCCCTTTCAGAAATGACATTCTAAATTATGAGGGCAAAGTTTATTAATACGCTTAAAATATTTTTAAAAGAAGACTTAAATTTGAGCAAGTTAGGCAGTTCAATCTATGAAAATATTTTAGTTCCTGAGCACAGCAGTTGAAGGCAGATATGGAAGTGTGTATTTGTAATTTTGTATTTTGCCTCCCTCTCTGAGCACTCATTCTTTTTTCATTACTCAAGACAATAACGCCACCTTATATTCATGGAGCAATTACTATTTGATCTACAGAAGAACGCCAGAAGGTCAAACGGGTACCCATCTCCCATTCATATGCCATTTACAGTGAGATGCCTCATAAGGAAGAAGGGGCCACGCTCCCGCCCAGGATGCCTGTCCCTAACCCAGTGCTTCCACAGACCAAGCCCATCAGGTCCAGGGCTATCCCAGGCACAGGGCAGCAATACCACTCATCTGAAATAGTAACTTCCATTGTGGGCAAATGAGAAAGTCAAACCTCGTGCCTTTTGATCAAACAGGACGGAGTATTTTTATGGTGAGTAACAAGTAACTCAACACTCAATGTTTACTGAGCACTTAAAAAAAAAATGCCAGACATGGTACAACGTAGAGTACCAATAGAGAGGAGAGGTACCACCGCTTCCCTGGGCAGACACTGGCAGAGGGTAAAGGGCACAAAGCAGAGCTGTGGACCAGCTGCCATGGGACGCATCGGCAGGAGAGGTACGGGAACGGTAGTAGATGCAGAGGAAATTGATTCTTTCTTTCTTTCTTTGCAAAGGAACTAGGTCAAGTGGCTATGCAGCAGTAGGAAGAAGACTGAGAAACAGGGATGCAAAACACAAACTCAGCCACGGTGTCGCCAGCATTCTAGGAAGGGCCCCACCCCTGGGAGGCAGCACGCTGAGCAGGTCCCGCAGGCTGCCGTGGAGTCAGAGTGCGCAACGCCATCGTAGAGCAGGTGCCTTGGTGTTGCCACGCCGCAAATATGTTACGGGACCCCAACAGTCTCTCTCTCTCTCTCTCTCTCTCTCTCTCTCTCCACATCTGTTGCTTTACCTAAAATAGGATTCCTTTCAATTTTTTTGCTCCACTTTTTTTCTGAGACAAACCAGAAAGCACGAGTACAGAAATCTAAGTTTCTATAAGTTACAGCCAACTTTCATGAAATCTGTGTAATTTTAAATGTCTTTTAACCATTGCCAAGAAAAGAAGCAAAGGAGTCAGGTTTCTCTTCCGCAGGTCAAATGCAGCCGCCCATCTGTTCAAGCCTGAGTATCAGGACCTGGAAGCCCCATGTAGACCTATCTACTCTGTCATTCTTTTCATCTGTTGCTTTTCAATCGGTATGGTTTTTCCCTACCATTTTGAATTCAGGTTTCACTACATTATACTTCCTTGGCCTCATAAAAATGAGGCACAAGGTATAATATAGAATGGTTAATTTTAAATTTAAGCAACGCAAGTAGATATTGAATGATCAAAAACTTCAAAATCCTCATTATATTACTCATGTAAGAGGATAAGGGGAGTTTTTTAGAGGAAGAGCAAGGTTTTAAAGCCAAAACCACAAAGGAAAGGGTCTACCTGAGTGTTAGTATATAAACCCTTCACTCTGATGGCTTGAGGTCAAGCCTTGGTTAGTTCAAAAGTGAATGAATGTTTGGATTCTTTACCTCCTACCTAGTAAATATTTATTCCAATTATAAAATGGCAAGAAACACTAGCACAACCAACATTCTCTGCTTGAGAAAAGCTACAGGCATTTTTACAAGAAATGCATTAGCAAAGTGATATGAGAAAGTTTGGTCTATCCATAATAACTCTGTCTGGAATGCAACCAATGCTTTCAGTTTCATATTCTGAGTTTTCCAGCATTTACCCATAATCAATTTTTTAAAATAAAAGACAAGTCAGATAGACTAGTTTATGTTTCATTGACCCAGAGAAGAACATTATGATGTATCAGCATTTGAAAGTTTAAAATAATATTTTTACACACTGACCTTTTTGCCTTTCCCACTTTTCTTCAGTTCCTCATGAGGTTTGATGAGGTCCTTAAAGCTGTCACATGAGCCATCTAAAACATCACGCCTTGTTGGTCTATTTTTAACACCTAAAACCCAAGTGGATTAAAGATTAGTTAGAACTTTACATGGACTAAATACTACTTAAGCAAAACAAAAATCACATTTATGCATAATGGAAACAGGAAGTTATAGGCCTTTTAAATAAATTGTATATGTCTTCTTTTTGAGATCTATCTAGAACTTTCAGTTTATTACATTCCAGTAGCCTATGCAATTCACTTAACTCAGTGGTCAGCAACAATCAGGTTACAATGTTCTACAGCATCAACTCTGTCCATTTGATAATGCAAGAAAATGTATACCCACACCTTACGTACTCTTCAAACTTCAATTCTTAGATTTTAAAATAATGACAAAGAACAGCTCTTCAGAGTAGGCAGTTCCATATTAGAGGCAATAATTAATTTAAGTTTTGGGGTCAGTTTGAGATTTTCTAGAAATTAGTCTTCAGTACAGAGCTTCAGGCTTCAAACTACAAATGATGGATGATTTTACTCCCCCCAAGTTTCCACCTTAGACCAGCGTCTTGCCATGAAGACACACAAACCAAAACGATACTCATTCAAGTGAAATATGGTTTCCTTAGATGCTAACCTGTGTAGACCTAAATAACCCACAACAAAATGTGAAATGTGTACTTTGATTTGACTCATCTACTGCCTCAGAGGGTGCTTCTTACTCTCACCCTTCCTGCTCCTTCAAACAGTTTGCCTACTTTATGACTTAGATGGGATTTTGAAGGAGGAGCTACCATGGACCATAACATGGTCTCAATGGTATAAATGCAAACTTTGATGCAAAAGTTATGTAGCAGCCTAGCGGGTACTAGAACCTGCTAGTCAGGTGATAGCTAAACTGCATTGTTGATTACCTAATGATTAACAAATAGCTAATGATCTACCCACTGGAGATGCAAAATGCACAAGATATAGTCCCACTCTTAGGGAGCTCACAACCCAATAGACAATGTAGACATAGACGAATAAATATAATGCAAGGTGAAATTAACATCAGTGCCCTCAGAAATTAAAAATCATATAACATGAGAAAGACTTCTTTGCAGATAAAATTCTATAAAGCCAGCTATAACTAAGTTTGGAGACTCTAAGGTAAAAACTGTCACTCTTTTCAAAAACAGGGTCCTATCTAAGTGAAAAAGGATGCAGAATAAAAATGTTAATACTTTCCTGAATTCAAGCTAGTTGTTATTTGCAGCCTGGGCCCTGGACAGATTTTAAGGTCCAGTTCTAAACCACAAACCTACCAACCTACACTCTTTGCCATAATCCCTAATGCTGAATCCCCTGGAGACTCAAACCAGTCACATCCTGACTGATCCCGTACCTCCTCAGGTATCCTTTATGGTTGACTTGCACTGACTTTTCTCCCAGGCCCACTTTATCCCCTAGGGTAGAATATGAATGCAATCTTTTTCATTTTTAAGATTAAAAATAATTATATCTACTATGCACTTATTTTTCTTTTTAAATAATAATATTTACTTGAAGCATGAGTGTGTCAAAATCAGAAAAGCAGTGGACTAGAGATATAATTTGGGATACAGTGCTGTTATTGAAACATGAATAAATTTGCAGCTTCCTAGTGTAGTCAATGAAAGTTTTATAACAGCCACTTGCCTCAGTTCTTGCCGAACAACGAAACAGGCTGTAAAGCATTTTATAAACATAAAGTTCTAGGAAATGCAACACGATCTTTAAAAACTTAAGACAGACTGATATTGTTAACAACATGTTTTCACAATTTCACAAATCCTGCAGTCAAAAAATAATCTAAGTAAATGATTTATTAATTGGTTATTGAAAACATTTCATAAACTCTGCCACAGTAATTTGCCAGTGTGTTTTAACAATGACCTCAGTAAACCCAAAGCAGTTGAGAGTGCAAATTACTTCTGAAAACATCTGTGGAAAGATTAGTTGGACTCCATTTTTGGCTGGAAGTCTGCAAACAAACACCTACTCTCCTCTTCCTGACTCTCCCACTTCTTGGATGACTCTTTTCGTGTATGCTCCTAAGTGTGGTTTTTTTCATGGGCTGTCATCAGCTCCCTTCTCACTCCCCAAGGTGATTTCATCACTTCCCATAAACTCATCCATTACTGAAGAGACCTAATTCTCTGTACCTTGTCCAGACCTCCCAGCTGAGGTACGGCTGGATATATCCAACTACCTAATGGACATCTATTTTGAATGTCTCCAAGAAATTCCAACTAACATGCACCCTTTAGCTGCTCTTCCTCCAACACACCCCAGTTGGATGAATGTCTTCTTCGGCTGGGGCTACCACAACAAAATACCACAGGTTGGGTGGCCTGAAGGCCGAGATCAGGGTGCCCCCATGGTCGGGTTCTGGTGAAGGCTCTCTTTCTGGCTTAAAGGAAGCTATCTTCTTGCTGTCTTCACATGGCATAGCGAGAGGAAGCCAGTTCTCTGGTGTCTTTTTATAATGGTCCTAATCCCATCATGAAGCTCCTACCTTTAAGACCTCATCTAAACCTAATAACCTAATTATCTCCCAAAGATCGCTCTCTCCAAATGTTATCCCATTGAGGGTTAGAGCTTCAATAAATAAATGTGGGGGTCAGAGGACACAATTCGGTCCACAGTATTTCCCTGTGAAAGCATGTATATTCCTCTCTCATTTTCCTCCCAACCTCATTACACACACAATTCATTGACTTCGTTTTCACAAAATGATCATATACAGAAATGAATCTGACAGCCCCCACATTTTCATCTTTCAGTTATCTGAAATTTCACCATTTGGAAATTAGTTTGGATTAATAATACCAACAAAATGCAAACACATCAATGAAAGCTAGTAAATGGTCACTCATTCACCTCTCAGTGTGAATTAGTTAAATCACAACCTTCAGCTACTCAACAGAGATAAGCAAGATTAAGGAAAAGTATTGATACTCAGGGAAGAGAGAAGAAAATGTCTAATATGATCACTTTGGAGCCAGAACCAGGCCAAGACAGTATAAGGACACAGGTAACTTAAATACTAGGAAAGGGAGAGATGAAGAAGTGGACATTGAAAAGACTATAGGAGAAACTTGGCTCGTGTCTAATTTTGTCTAGAGCTAAAGCTGAAGAAATAACTCTTATTTTTAACATTTATTTTCCTCTACATCCTACTTCCAAGATACAGAATTAAGACCAACAATGCTAATACTAATAATACATTTAAACAATTAGTATTTACTCATACAAGGCACTATGCAAGAGTCAAGGGTTGAAAAGGCTTCTGAAGGCTGAATAATCCATAATTTGAACATGTAAAAATATACACTTAACATTATCCAATAAGAAATTTCTTCTAAGCTTCAAAAATTTGAATATGAAATGATTTAACAATGTAGTATGCAAAATATTAAGACTGGAAAGAACCTTAAAAGACACCTAGGAAAAATTCCTTTCCAGAGATACCTTTGGGATATATGCAAGTTGTACGGGTTCTACACAAGTGAAACCCCGCTAACAAGAGACTGTACTCATACTCATCTATTAGAATATCAAGTTCACTTTGTTCACTCTGAAAAAGACAGAAACAACACTCTTCAATAGATAACGTGGAATTTCATCCTTTGTAATCATTGTAGAGATCATTACAATATCAATTTTATGTGTGTAAATTTGTTTTAATTCCCACGGAAAGTAATTGCTCCGACTTTTGAATTTCCTGATACTTGTGTGTAAAGTATCTTGACTGTACCTTCCCTACTTAGCTAAGTTCTTTAAAGCAAGGGGATAGAGCTTTCAATTAACCTAACCTCTCACTGTTTATACATTGGACATAGTAGATACGGAGTAAACATCTGATAAAAAATGAATATGTAAATGAATGAATGAATCAACCAAACAGTTAAATGGTCAATAGCCTTCTGTTAAGACTGACTAACCCAAACCAAGTTGCTAGGATTGCTTAATTTTGCAGCCCCAGTGAGCTGGGCTGGCAGATGATGGGACAGGGGGTTCTTAATACACTTGTGAATTATTTGAATAGTCAAAAGTGCAACAATTTAATGTACTTAATGAATATGTGTATATCTATTTATTTGCTACAATAGTAATTCACAGTTTCTCTGGAATGCTCAGAATTTGCAAAATATATTATACCATAGGCTGGGCACAGTGGCTCACAACTGTAATCCCAGCACTTTGGGAGGCAGAGGCGGACAGATTGCATGAGCTCAGAAGTTGGAGACCAGCCTGGGGAACGTAGCCAGGTGTGGTAGCCTGCATCTGTAGTCCCAGCTACTCAGGATGCTGAGGTGAGAAGATCGCATTGAGAACAGTAAGTTGAGGCTGCAGTGAGCTGCGATCATGTCACTGCACTCCAGTTTGGGTGACAGAGTGAGACCCTATCTCAAAACAACAAAAAAAAAACTCCAACTCCTATAAATCCTCCAGACCAATATTAGATGCTTTGTTAAAAGCCAAAATGGATGACAAAAATGAGTGGTCATCAGTGACATCATCAGGTTGTTAATCAGCATAATGGATGTGAGAAATAGTTTCTTGTTGGTTAAATTCATGGATTCATGGATTCAAGAACACTTAAATATTGCAGGGGACCCAATACCCACACACAACGGAGCATAAACATCTCGTATGAGTTGTGGCTTGTATCCCTGGGGGTGGTATCCAAGGCAAACCTTTCAGATAAGGTATGGATACTCCACTAAAGGACAGAGAACTCGGCCTTTAGCATATTGGTCACTTTTGTGGACCACTTCCTAACTGCTTGCCAATAAATGTTTAATAAATGTCTTTCTGAGACTTGCCTTCAACAAGATCAGGTAGATAGATGGTAGAAGAGTAGTTAACTATCATCAACCTCCAACGACTTCTGACTATTATCGATGAACAAGACCCTGGTAGTTGGACATGACCAAATTGCTCAGATTAGCTCACAACACATGTGTACAAGGTGCTGACATGTAAAAATCCATCAACACAACAAAGAAGAAAATCTATCAAACCCATGGATAAGTGGGGTGTGGGAAGGACTTTTCTGCTTTTGCTAGTGAACACACAGCACCTATGGGACCACTGTGTTTCCTTCATTAGTGAAAAGTAATTAGGTGCCAAACTGTGCACTAGTTCAGGATGACCAATCGGCTTTATCTACTTGACAATTCAAACTGACTTCCGGTGGTTGAAGAGCTATGATTGGCAGTGCCAAGGGGCAGGTGGGACACATTTCCACAAATAAGCAACAACAATTCTCTCTTGTGCTGTCAAAGGTTAAAACAAGAAGTGGGATCTCCATTTCCATGCAAACTGTCTGCTGTCTGTGGACATATTTCCTAAGCCCAAACTTTAGCAGGCTGAGGCTGCAGTGAGCTGTGATCATGTCACTGCACTCCAGTTTGGCTGACAGAGTGAGACCCTATCTCAAAACAACAACAGACTGAGTGCAAGAGCAAAGGGAATTTCCTTTTTTTTTTTTTTGAGACATAGTTTCACTCTTGTTGCCCGGGCTGGAGTGCAGTGGCGCGATCTCGGCTCACCGCAACCTCCATCTCCCGGGTTCAAGTGATTCTGCTGCCTCAGCCTCCCAAGTAGCTGAGATTACAGGCATGTGCCACCATGCCCAGCTAATTTTGTAATTTTAGTAGAAATGGGGTTTAACTATGTTGATCAGGTTGGTCTTGAACTCCTGACAAGTGATCCACCCACCTCGGCCTCCCAAAGTGCTGGGATTACAGGTGTGAGCCACCATGCCTGGCCAGAATTTCTTATTTCAAAACCCATTTGACTGCACAATTGAGGAGCTTCAACCTATTTTTCAATTGCAAGTGATAAATCTGCAATATAAGGACATGCTTAGAGGCAGGCACCGAGAGAAGAATCTAAGAGAATTCCATCAGTGTTTTCCAGGCTATGAAGATCCTCAATGCAAATTATCTACTTGTGGACTGACATCGAATCAGCAGTATCTGTCTGTGGGAAAAAGCATTTTCAAAAGTGAAATACATAAAATCTATCTTATTACATATCAGCCTTAATAAACATTTGCAATCAATGTTAATGTGAACACTCAGTCTGAACTCCAATTAAATGAAATGTTGTAATTCCCCCCCACAAATTATTTTTTTTCTCAATAGACCTGTATTACAAAAAAATTGTATTTGAGTTTCATCAATAAAAATTTTGTAGAAAATGTCTTTTTCTCATTATGTAATCATCTACATGAGTACCCACATACCTCGATTTGGTCTCTTTGCCCACAAAGCCTAACGAACTTACTATCTGATCTGTTACAAAAAAATTGTGCTGACCTTACATATAGACTGTATTAAAAAATGAAGGTTTACTGGTACCAATATGTAAATATATGACATATTGCTTTTGTAAAAAGCAATTTTTAAGGCAATATAATTCTATGTATGCAAAAAATTATCTTAAAATACCTATTTGCATTTGCATGCTTGTAGACACACACACACACACAAGAAATGTGTGGAAGGAAATATTAAACTGTGGGACAGTGACTGCTTTGTGCAGACAAACGCTCCAACCCAGTCTGTTCTCCAGTGTCCAGGGTTACATTTAAAACCTAAGTCAGATTTGGTTGCTCCCCTGTTCCAAAGCCCCAATGGCTTCTCACCACACTTCAAAACAAAACAGCTGCCCACCTTGTCACTGAAGGTCCCAAAGCTCTGGCTCCTACCCCTCTCCAATCTCCTTCCTCCAGTTCAGGAAGTCCTTGCTGTACTGGCTTCCCTGTCGTTCCTGCAAGCATTTTTCTCCATCAGGACATTTGTTCCTGCTGTTACCTCCAGCTGAAACATGGATTTTGAGAGTCACAGGCTCCCTCTCCCTCCCCAGGCCTGTGATCGGATGTCTCCTTCTCAGGGAAGCCTTCATTTGTCACCTTATCTATCCAATGCACTATTGTTTTTCTTTTAATCATTAACTGCTTGCTGACACTGTTACACACTTATTTACTATTTGTCTTCCTCTATGAGGGTGCACGCTGCTTCATTCTCTGCTATGTCCCCACAAACTTGAAGAACACCTGAGACACAACGGGTCCACGACTTTCATTAGTTAGGAAGTGAACTAACGAAAAGAGGCAAGTGAGGAGATGGAAATTCTAATCTTCTTAGCAATCTTTGTTACAATGGGAATGTATCTGTGTACTGTTTATAAAATTAGAGAATAAAAAAGTAAAACAGAAAAGAATTAATGATTTTAAAGATTTTAGAAAACAAAATTGTTGGCCGGGTGCAGTGGCTCACGCCTGTAATCCCAACACTTTGGGAAGCCGAGGTGGGTAGATCACGAGTTCAGGAGTTCAAGACCAGCATGGCCAAGATGTGAAACCCTGTCTCTACTAAAAATACAAGAAAATCAGCTGGGCATGGTGACGGGTGCCTGTAATCCCAGCTACTCGGGAGGCTGAGGCAGAGAACTGCTTACACTTGGGAGGCGGAGGTTGCAGTGAGCCAAAATCGTGCCACTGCACTCCAACCTGGGCAACAGAGCAAGACTACGTCTCAAAAAACAAAAACAAAACCAAACCAAAATTGTTTCTCCCTCAGTTCCCATTCTACTAATGTACCGAAGCTCTTTGTAACTTGTTTTTGAAAACTTTTTTACACACTATCTTAGATATTGACAAAGGCAACAAGTAAAAGTGAACTGAAAACAGAAATGGAAAAAAGCCCTTTATTTCGACATTAAAGATTTGGAGGTACAGTTTGCTGTACAGAAGTTTTCACTCCTCCACAATTTCACCAGGTATAGAGTGTGCATCCTTGACATTGAAACTGAAGGCCTTATGGTTTCATCTTGTAAGGCAGATTCCCAAAGAGAATTGGTTTACCTGAGTCCCAGGGGGCTGACAATGGACAGTTTAAAACATTGATGACTCTTTATTACTATAAAAGAAAAGGGTTAGATTTAGGCTAGCCAACATGTAAGCCTTTTTATGTCCTAGAACCCAATGACTTCCCATCTCTCTGTAATGGCATGAAGTAAGGCAGATGACTCTAGAAGATCCTCTTAACACTAGGGCACACAGTTGCACCAGGGCCCTGTCTGGACACTCCTGCCTGATGGCCTGCACCACTGAGCGAAAAAACCTCTCCATCTCCACCAGGGTGCCATGGGTCAACCAGTGCTGGCCCCTCATCCCCTTCTACTTACCCCCACCGCCGGAGGCTGTCGACGCAGGGGGCAGTGTTCTAGAACATAAAACACACCTGCTTCTGAGGACTAGCACACTCCTGACAACATGGGGATTTTAGGCCATGCCATACTGTTTGCTACCAGCTTTTTGCCACTTAATTAACATTTGCATGTCATTATTATTCAAAAGCTTAAAAAATACACAAGATGAAAACTGGAAAGAAGGAGAATGTAAACTTCAGAACAGGATATTCTTAACTACCAAAAGAATTTTACACATCTATTGTTTTATATTAACTTTTGAGTCAACATTTTAAAATAAATATTTTGAAAACACATACTAAGGCTAATGGAACATAAAATACAGTTTCTTGTCAAATTTAATATATGTTCAGAAAACCAAGATATAAATAGCAGGCTAAAAATACACAAAAGTATTTTCATCCTTTTTGTGAAACAATTTTGGGGAGTGTATACTCAAGGAAAAGGTATGTAACACATCTGTGATGATTTCAAACCCTGCTGTGACTTCTCCACCTTCAAAGACGCAGTTAACACATTTGTAGAGCAGAGAAATCACGCAGAGTGAATGCGTTCTTACTCAAATTTTAACCTAATCTTTAGGTAAAGACAGTCAAAGTTTAAGATTTCTTCAATTTCGGTTGTTGGAACCTATTTGTGCTTGTAACTGTGAAGTGCAAAATTTTTTTATTGTTGTGACTTTTGCTACAATGATATAGTTTATTATTATAGTTACAATTAAATTATGAATAGGAATAAATCTTTTCAAGTGATGCTTCAAGCAAAATAAGTACAAGTCAAACAAGGCCTGTTACAAATGAGCAAAAATGTTTTAAAAATGTTTCTTCATAGTTAACACTGACCAAAGTTTCTTCAAAAATCAATATTGATAACGGATTTCTAAATGTACTTTTTCATACTTCCTCTTTGATACAATCGATGGCTTAAGCTACCTTAATTTCTTTCTTTAAATAGCCTCACTATTAAGAACCTAGGTTTTAAAAAACCCTTTATTGTACGCATCTTTACACACGCTGCAGCGCAAGACTCCAACGGAACAAAGAAAAAGACTTCACTCCCCTCAGTTATTCATACTACAGACTACTTATCCTTTTGACCTATAAGAAGGAAAAGTCTTGGAGAAATAGATTCATAACAGACTTGATCAATAAGTCTAGAAGTTCCACAGGACAGCAAGTCATCTATCTATTCCTAAAGAGTTTATCATTGGAATGATCAAATGCATATTCTTTAAGTAAAAACTGGGGAAATAATTTAAGTTATGAAAAAGTTGTGATAAATTTAAAATATGGATGCACTGTTACATGTTTATTTAGCAAAGATGACTTGGAAAAGGAGATTCACATACTTCCACTGTATCCTCCAGGTAAGTTTTCCTTTTCTTCTGCAGACCTCTCCACGTTACAGTCAACTACAGAACGTGGCTCATGTTCACTCGGGGCTTCGCCTTCAGAGGAGTTTGATATTTTGGAAGTGGTACCTTTGTCCTGTGTGCTTTTCAGACCAACCGCTTCTTTCACTTCTTTAAGGATTCCTTCGAAAGGAGTTAAATCACCATCATGTCCTTTTGGAAGAGCAGGGTCCTCAATGGTGTAAGAAAAGCCATTGCCCTCTGGCCATGCGTCTTCTTTCTGCTGAGGCCCAGCCTGTCTACAATACCTTAAGGTTTCTTCAGGGGCAGAGGATTCCTCAGAAGTCACGCAACTGAAAGTTGCACAGCCTTCTCCACTTGCAGTTTTCTGAGGACTGCAGATGGTTTTTGCTGTGAAACTGGTAATGTCAACTGTTCTGGGTTTTTTACCAACGCAGGAAAAATCAGACATTTCAAATATGCTTGTTCTCTCCTTCTTAGAAAGACTTCTGCAGCTGAACTGAGCAGGGTTTGATGGCAGCTGAGATTCGGGAGGAAGATTCTCTGAATTCCTTTCCTTAAGATTATCAGGTGAAAAATAGTCATCATACGAAGACTCCCCACAGCCAAGAGCCTCGAGTGCAGGTCCCGCCATGCACTGCAGGCTGCCTTCTGACCTACACAGCTGCAGCCTCGGCATGATAGATCTCCTGATGCTCCTCTTTCTCTTGCATTTTTCCTTTGGAGGTGAATGGAAGCCATATGATACTCTTTTTCTCTTTACTGAGGAACTCCTGGGTCTTGAATGTATCAAAAGGGGGCCTTTTGTTGAAGACAATGTAGGAGACAAACGATACTTCTCTTCAAACGTCTCCTGAGACATACCTGCAGCCTGCTTTTGGTCAGGGGTGACTATTTTACCCACAATGTTTCTTTGCAAGTTTATTTCTTCCTTTGAAAGATTACTCAGAAATTTCTGAGGACTTGATTTATCAAGGTGAGCGAAAGATGGTGATAAATGAGTATTATTTGTTTTCAATACAAGTGAAGAAATACACATATCACTTTTAGTGTCATTAATGGATCCTCCCAACTTCCTTTCCTGATTTCCACATTCTGAGTTTCCACAAAGATCATCAAAAGACGAGTGTAAGCCACCAGCAATGGATTCATCTGGAAAACATTAACGGAGAGCTAACTTTTAAAAGTGGTTTAAATTATTCTAAATTCAATTTTCAGTTGACTAATAAAACATTACTTTTAAAGTACAGCTATTAGTTAAGAAGACTATTAACCACATTTGGGTTCTTCTCATTTCCATTTAAGAGTACGTTTTAGGCCAGTATTTTTAACTAGAAAACCTGGGCTTTGATGAGTGTATAGGATAGTGGTGGGGATAGAGAAGAGGGGTAACAAACTTCTAAAAATTTCAGGCAAATTTCCATATGCATGTGCACATTTTCCCGGAAGAGCTTCCATAGTTTGTCGCTAAATTTTCCAGGAGATCAATAATTCTAAAACCTAAGAATGACTGCTGTAAGGTCTAGGGAAAGTTCTAGTCTTGTGTGAAACATTCCCTCAATGAACATAGCTCACCTTTACCTTCCCTGTCTTCCAGTGAAGTCCTCGTATGACACTTATATTCAAAAGTGAGCCAGTTGGTAGGTCTTAATGTTTCAACTCTTATATAGCTTACTCATTTCCTGAGAGTAATGCTAAGCTGCTGCTACCTCCTGAAAATTCTGTACTCCTCTGTACCCTCCGGGCCTTGCCCTTTCCTCCACACTTTATTCTAGGTAAATACAATTCATCCTTCAAAACCTACCTGGGTTGTCAACATCCCTGGGACCCTCCCACTGCCCTTGCCAGGTCTCCCTGGCCTTGCCCCCTCTGCTACACAGCATCATGCATCATACCGCCCCGTGGTTACGTGGGTGTCTGCCCATCACTATGCTGTCAGCTACTAAAGGTCTATTCACTTTGGAATGAATATAAAGAAGCCTCTAGTCCTGTGCTGGCTCCCCTAGTAGGGGCTTAGCACTTGCTGGTGGAGGGCCTGTGTTTTGTAGAAATCACTCAAATCTGGAGGTAACATAAGTGTGATAAGTCTCTGACTGAAATCACTAAAGTTCTGCTTTAAAAAGAAAGAACACAGGTAACCAACAAAGCTTCCCTTCCGACTGTGCCCCGGGAGGGGAGGGAAGCCCAGTGGGGAGGAGGCACCATGCGTGTCTTCAGGGCAGTAGTTGGAAATAAGGTCACTTTTAATTTTAGATGCTGAATATATCTTATTCGGCATCTAAAATTGCTTTATGTTTTATCATACTTTTCAAAAACCCGATAAGCAATGTGACATGTCACTAAGACTGTAAACTGTGATGTCAGACTGCCTAAGTTAGAAGCTTGGGTTTGCCATTCACAAACCACATGACCTTGCACAAGCTGTTTGACCTCTGTGTCCTGGTTTTTCACTGGCAAAATGGGATGGTGATGGAGCCTACCTCTTAAGGCTAATGGGAGAATAACTCAGATAACAGTGAGTAAGACACTTAGAGGAGTGCCTACAACACAACAAAAATGAAATCAATGTTAGCTATTATTATCACTTGTTTCCAACTTCTAGGAAATAAATGTATCGAGTATAAAATAAAAAGATGGAGACTGTTTAAGAGAAATGGGTAAATAATTCCAGCACACAGAGGTGAGAGTACAAGGATTAACCCTGCACTGAAAAGAGGCTTTGGTTTAAACTTTTAATATCTTGATGCCGTCTTGTGCTTTGTCATTGCTGTGGCTTTCATAATAAATATTCCATAACATCTCAAGCACTTTCGAACACAGTACTTCTAGGGGTCGCTGCTACTTATTTAGGCCCTACTGGGGGCTAGGTGAGAAAACTGTAAGAAATTGGTACGAAGAAGAAATGACCATGAACAATTATCATCCTAAGTGACACAAGGGCTCCCACATTAAAAAATATGTATGTGCATAACATGTAACTAATTGCATTAATTCTTACCAATGTTCTTTCTGCTTGTAATTAGAAATCCTCTATTTAGCTCCTCAATTGATTGATGATCTTTACATACTTCACTGACCCCGTTCAGTAACATGTTCCTTGTGTTAATTAGACATTGTATGAAATAACATTTCCTTATTCTGACCTCAGTTCTATGTAGTTTAAACTGCATACAGATTAGTTCATATACGACCACAATAATTTTTTAAAATGAGCAATGGATTCTGTAGCAAGAAAGCAAATACCTAGGCAAAAAAACCTATAGGAACCAAAAAGGAAGTTTAACTCATGCCTTAATTTTATTATAATACCTAATTTCAGGGGGAAATTTAGAAGTTCTAGTTTTAACTAATTATTTTACTCATCAGACGTTGCTACATGAAATTCTAAATCAGAACTTAAATATATCACAGAAAGGAAAATTAAAAATTTACCTGAACACAAAGTATCATGTGAAATGTTCAAAGGTGCTTCACACAGAGAGTTACTTGGATTATCATGAGACTGTTGAATCATTTGGGAAGCTAAAAACAGGACCAAGACACTGCATTAGATAAAGTTTCAGTATTGTTTAGCAGATGAAGCCAGCAGGAAATCCTCCTATTAATCATAGGTGATTCTGTTAAATCCTATAATCACAAAGTTAGAAGGGATCTTAAAGTCAACTTGCCTAAATCTAATCAGAAGCTCAACAGAGTTAAAGTGAACACTTCCAGTCTATTTTAGTCTTCTTGTTTGATAATCATGGCTTTTTATTCAAGGATGCTCACCATAGTTACCTCTAAAACTAGAGCACTGCTTCTCAACCAGGGTGACGTGGGGTCCCAGCAGATAGCTGGTAATGTCTGGACACATTTGTGGATGTTGCCAGTGAGGGAGAGCAGTGGGTACGTTGCTAGTGTTAGTGGGGAGAGGCAGGGATGCTGCTGAGCTTCCTGCCACACACAGGGCAGTGCCCCCAGCAAAGAATTACCCAGACTCAACTGTCAGCTGTGCTGGGTTGAGAAATCCTAGAGGTTTCATAGAAAACACTTAGGATGTCAATGACTTAACAAATAAGGTCCTACGTATTATCTTCAAAGGCTGTTCATACAATAGTCAAGAAACAAAAGAAATGTTTGGATCTCATATTCAAAGATATTTTTTAGAGACTCAAAATGATACTTTTCTGAGAAAACTTCAGTCAAAAAGAGAATAAACCAAGATAAAGAAGGGAAGCACACATAAAATTTTCAGTTAAGTTTTAAACTGTGCTGGACGCAGTGAAGTAGCAGAATTAACACTGTAAAGTAATAGAAAAAGTAAAGTTTAAGGCAAATTACTTTATATGCATAATTGCACATTGGAACAATTTGGACGTCTACCTGGGACACAGTTATCTTCCTCAATGTCCATTCTCACTTCTTCTTAACAACAGAACGTTGATTTTATCAGTATAGCAATGCATCCCAGTCAAGACTACATTTCAGTCTTGTCTGCAAAAGGGGTGGGCATATGACCACATTCCAGCCAACGGAATTAGACAGGAGTATTGGATAGACGTCTGGTAAGGCTGTCAAAGGGAGATGGCTTAGCTGGGAGGCACACACATTTTGGAAGAAAAGCCAGGCAGGCCTAATAGAAAGATGGGAACCTAGTTTCTTAAAGACACCATGGAATGGCATCCCAGCCCTGACTGCCTACTTCTGAACTAGGCAAGACAGAGAAAGGCAATTCTATCGATTTTAAGTCACTGGTTTTTTTCTTTCTTTGTTATATGCAGCTGAAACTAACCTTAACTGATATAGATGGACAAAGGATGTAAAATTAAGAGAGGCAATAGTTGATAACATTACAAGCTGCATTCAGTAAGTCATTGTCAATAATATGAAAAGGCACTGAAACTTGCTCCTAATCAAAAGTAACTTAGAGAACAGATCCAGTTTTTCAAGCTTCCGACTGAAAAAGGCTACAGGCTAATGCCATTCAGTTTTCCAAGGATGGAGAAAGAGGCATTCTTATAAACAACTGATGACAATAAAATGGCCCAAATCTTTTGAAGGATAATTTGACTATATCTATCAATAAGCCAGGAGTAGTGGCACACACCTGCATTCCTAGCTACTTGAGAGGGTGAGGCAGAAGTACTTGAGCTCAGGAGTGCAAGTCCTGCCTGGGCAAGACAGTGAGACTCTCTATATCTTTAAAAAATCAAATTCTGCATGTATGAATATTATTGAAATACATGAAGTACTCAGAAATATAAGGATTCACGTAGGCGCATGCAGGGGTTATAACGGTAAAAAGTCGGGGTGGGAAGCTGGAAAGACTTATGTCCAGGAAAGGAAAATGGCTTAATAAAAAAATAAGAACCACCAACCTATATGGTTAAAAAAAGAATAAAAACTGCAGCACGATTTCTAATAAAGAAAAAGTGGGAAAAAATATCCACCAATAGATGAGTCAGTATCAAAGCTGCAGACTACTTAGAGCATCTTTAAAAAAAAAAATAGGTCTACAACAACTAAGCTGCAAAAAAAACCTCCAGGATACTCTTAAGTAAGAAAACAAAGTGCGTAATAATACATATGTCATTATCTAATTTAGGTAATTAGATAATTTACACAGAAACAGAAATGACACCTCCACACAGAAAACAAACCTGTATCTTTGTCATGTATACACAGATATCTGATACACCGAAACAGATCTGGAAAAACACATCAACTTAAAATACAGGTTATCCCCAGGTAGAAGAGTATAATTAGGTGAGTATCAAGATGAACTTTTACTATTAGCTACTTTGTTAAATGTTTTATTAAAATGTGCTGAATTATACTTCAGTAATTAAAAATTTTAAAGATAAAAGAAATAATGAGAAACAAACTGATTCATTAGACACATTTAATCTAAAGCGAATTCCTTCAAAAGACACGATTCATGGCTGGGCACGGTGGCTCATGCCTGTAATCCCAGCTGTTTGGGAGGCCGAGGCAGGTGGATCACCTGAGGTTATGAGTTTAAGACCAGCCTGGCCAACATGGTGAAACCCCATCTCTACTAAAAATACAAAAAAACAAAAAAAATTAGCCAGGAGTGGTGGCCGGCACCTGTAATCCCAGCTACTCAGAGGGCTGAGGCAGTAGAATCACTTAAACTCAGGAGGTTGCAGTGAGCCCAGATTGCACCACTGCACTCCAGCCTGGGTGACAAATGCAAAACTCCATCTCAGAAAAAAAAAAAAAATTTAATTTTGTTTTTAAAAAAGAAAGAAAAAATTCCAAAGCTAATAGAAATTACAAAGGAGCTACAACAAACAGGATTTTAAACTTGAAGAATACTATACACCCAACACACACTTCAAAAATCTTAATGATGCATAACATTTTCTGGAAAACAAAGCCAGCCATGAAATAGGTCAAAATTTGTTACTATCAGGAAACATTAAAATATCTAGGCAAAGAAAAAAAAAAAGCTTTCCACCATAATTTAATCACCTATTTGCATAATTTTCATTTTACAAACTGTAATTACTTACAGGTGGGGGAAAGATTTTCCCTTTTCTCCTTCATCTCTTGTAATCTCTTCTCCATTGCGCTGTGGTGACTACTATTAATTTTAATTGTAGGACTATATGTTAATGAACCATTGGATTCAAATAAGAGAATAGGTACATCATCATCTGAAAACAAACAAAAAATCCACTTTAAGATCAAAAAGCGCCTTCATACTTCAATATGATTCCTTTTAAGGAACAACCCCCAACACCCCATTTTCCTTCTTCCCTTTCAACATCATTACCTACTTCTGCTAATATTCTACCCCCACCACCTCCACAGGCAGTGACGTTGCTGCTACAGCTGCTGGCTCACATCTGCTGAGCAACTGCCCTCACCAAGTACTGTGCTAAGAAAATATATGCATTAGTGCATCCAACCTCAAACCCAAACCCAAACTAGTAACCCCACTTAAAAACAAAGACTGAGACACAGAAGTTAAAAGTTGCAAAGCTGGAATGCAATTTGGTTTCTGTTTCTTGTCCCAGGTTTCAGAAACTGCTCCCATTCACCATCTCTCCTTCCCTCAACACACACTCACAGACTCAGACATGAACCTGACTGCATGAAGTGGGATCAGCATGGTCCCAGAACCATGAAATTATGAGCTCGTTTTGTGTGGGTGCGGTTGTGTTTTTTTCTGGAATGCTACCTTGCATATGCTCAAGGAGCCCTTCAGTACTTTCATACTCACTCCCAACAAAAAAATACCAAGAATCATTTAATATCTTCTCCTTTGCAACTCTTAAGCCTGAATAATCTTTACTGTAGTTCTGACAATATACAAATGTACATTAGTTGAATCATTAATACTTCATATGTATGGTTTTTAATTACGATACATATTTGGTCTAAGAAGAAAATTTTGTATCTATCATTACCATGTTGTCAAAATATTTTCGAACACTGTCACTGATATAGGAAAGAAGGCCAAAGTGACAAAAGTATAAAGAGTTATAGGAGAGTGTGTAATATTGATATGAGGCTAGGAGAGGCCAGATCATAAAGGACCTAGAAAATTGGAGAATATGTTAAATACAGGATTTTATCCTGAATATTTTTCCTTGGGATGATACCAAGAAATTTTAAACTAGGAAGGGGATATCCTTCTGATTTAAGGTTTTCCTCATTGTGACTGCAGCACAGAGATGAACTGTAAGGACGGAGTGGAGGGCAGGGTAAGGAGTGGCTCCTGTGGTGCAGGAGGGATGATCCAGGCATCAGGGGAGAGAGCAGGTAAGGAGAAAACAGAAGAAGTCAAACAACTATTTCAGAAGCAGGGCCATGGTCTTGATGGGCGTTAGTGTCAGGAAGGAGGAGATGTCAAGGACGATTGCATGTTTCTGACTTGAGCTTCGACGAAGACCAGACAGCTGGTGTGAAGGAAGGACGGACACACACCAGGAGAGGCAGCAGGAGGGCTGAGCATGAAACAAATGATGCAGGCCATGTTTCTGGAAAGTTATGTGGCAGTACTACGTAGGCTAACTGTTCTACCCAATTCTGTAGCATTATCATCACAGATTTAAAATAAATCTTGGCCGGGCGCGGTGGCTCACGCCTGTAATCCCAGCACTTTGGGAGGCTGAGGCAGGCGGATCACAAGGTCAAGAGTTTGAGATCATCCTGGCCAACATGGTGAAACCCCGTTTCTACTAAAAATAAAAAAATTAGCTGGGCGTGGTGGCCAGGATGGTCTCGATCTCCTGACCTCCTGATCCACCCGCCTCAGCCTCCCAAAGTGCTGGGATTACAGACGTGAGCCACCGTGCCCAGCCCATAATATTCTTATATATAAGAATATTATTTATGAATATATACATAAGAATATATATATTTTTTCTAAGACATCTTGTTATAGCACATAATATTCTAAAGTATTTTTCCAAATCACTAAAAGAATGTATCATCTAAGATTTGTCTATTCTGGGTAACAAAACAAAAAGGCCAATTAGGTAAAAATACAAAGTTATATATAAAGAAGAAATAAATAGGTATTTATTTCAATAAGGCTTATTAGCCAAAGTTTGCTTTTCTTCTGAAATCATTCCTGAAAATAAAAAGTTCAACCACGTGGATGAATGGTTAAGACTGTAGTCGATTAGCTCAGCTGCATGGCTCTATTCTGGCTCCCAGTCAAGTCTCCCGCAGCCTCCTGACATTTTGTCTTCCCCTTCCTAGAGTAAAGCTATGATAGTCTCCATCAGCTCTCTCATCCTGAACACCACCAGTCATCATGCAAATTAAACAAGGTGTATAGACACAAATGCAAAGAACTGTATTAAATTTCTTAGCTTACCTAGACTTGTTTTTTGCCTTTGTAGCTCTTTAGCCATTTTCTCAAATTTCTTCTGAAATCTCTTATCATTTTCTGGTGTTTTAAAATTAAAATCTTTGGGCTGCATACATTTACGCTATGCAAAAAGAACACAAAAATTAATGCTGTATTGCAACTGCTTAAGACAGGAGAAAAAGCCCTTTCGCGTACATTTCTGATACCTTTTATAACATCAGTAATAAAAACTTCTGAAAGAGGTGTTTCTTGCACTGTATGTGAATTGGCAATATTTATTTCTTTTTGTGCAATTATAAAGAAAATGGATAGAATTTAAAAGACTGTATAAAAGGCTCTGTATTATGCTTTGTGAGACATTTTCATGATCCTAGCATTCTTAGTTTCCATGAAAGTTTTTAGCCAGTCTCTTTCGATTTTTTGCTATTGTTACCACCAAACCAGCCCAATCTAGTTCAACTTTGTGTATCAAAATGGTGAACTGTTTAATTGCCCTGGCCCCCGATGTGGCAAGTTATGTCACTTGCGCATGCTCAGGTGAAACAAGCATGTAACCACAGGTGGAACCTAAGCACTTAGACCAAGGAATGGGGGCCAAATTAAGGAGTAAACATCTGATAGCATAATCTAGGATCCAATCAGATTCAGCCCTAGCATCACCTTGGGACACAACCCAGTCAGATGACGCCTCCCAGCATCACCTGGTTGCAAGATCCAATCAGATCACACTTCGTTTTCTCTGCCTATGAAACTGCCTGAGCCCCCATCTCAGGGAGGCAGATTTGAGCATTTCTTCCTGTCTCCTTGCCAGGCAACTTGCAATAAAGCCTTTCTTTTCTCAAAAGCAAGTGGCATGATCTTGGACTCTATGTGGGTTGGGCAGCAAGCCCATTGCCTGCTTGGTAGCACTATTCTCACATCGTCCTCCCTGCAAGACCATGACGCAGTAAGAAAACAATTTTTATTTTATAATTACCAAAGAAAAGAACCATTATTATTCTTGCCCTACTATCATTAAATCACAGTAGCTCCAATCAGCCAGTAAAACCCCAAAACTATGACTACACTCACAAAAACATGAAACCCCAGGTTGATATCCACAGGAAGGTCGTGGGTTAACTCTACTCTTACCATCCTCAGAGAGGCGAAATGTTTCCTTTGAAACACACCTCACAGTCCCAGCCTTACCCACATTCTCTTCTTGGAACTGCCCATTGACTTCCCATCTTTAGGCCGGCCATCAGCACAAACACACATACTGAACTTCACATCGATTTTACCTACTAACACTTTTATGCCTGACTTCTTTCTTACAGGACCCCAGGGAAATTTAAGTCGTCTGTCTAGGTTCCTTGGTTTTCCGCTTGAAGCTGCCAGCCCAAACTTGCTTACATAGGGAGCTAGCTACCCATGTAAAAGCTAACTTCTTTTGCTTCAGTCTTATAGAAAGAACTTCTTTTAGCTATTTAAGGCTAATGCCTATACTGGGATCTTGCTCTGTTAGTTATTCACTCATTTATTGACAAAAAACATGATTATATGTCAGGCGCTGGTCTTGCAACCTAGAAAGATCCTTGTCATCATGGAGCTTGTATGCTGGTAAGGAATGACAGAAAATAAACATAATAAATAAGCAAATTGTATGTGGCTTGGGAGGTTCATTTCAATAGGCTTGGAACCGGCCTGCACTGCTTTCACTAAAGTACCTGCACTACACAAAATGTATTAATTAGGCAGTGGTGCTTTATAGCCACAGGTCCGGGAAGTCTGGGGACAACTGTGCTGGCCTGTCAACATTGTTTATGATTAGTGAGACGAAGGATTTGCCTGGAGGCTCTGCCAGTGGGGCTGGTTCATATAGGCTCAGGGCCAGCAGTATACAAGAAGATGCTCCACCTTGTGCTCCCTGGTTCTCAGGTACTGTGCAGATTGGACACATTGTTATTTTGGGGTCCTGTGAATCTTCTCTAGCAGCTGTATTCCATCAAACTGCCCACATTACTACAGTGTGTTAGGAGGAGCCAGTCAGCATTGCAGTAGAAAAGAGACTCTCATAGTTGGCACAAGTGGGAAGGAATTGCTGGTACAAACAGGGGTGGCAGGATAGGTCTCACAGAGAAAGTAACATCTGTACAAAGCCATAGGGAGGCTGGAAAACGGGTCATGTGTATGGATTTTGGGGGAAGAATGTTCCAGACAGAGGGAACAGATAATGCAATGGCTCTGAAATAGAAACACGATTGGCGGCCGGGCGCGGTGGCTCAAGCCTGTAATCCCAGCACTTTGGGAGGCCGAGACGGGCGGATCACGAGGTCAGGAGATCGAGACCATCCTGGCTAACACGGTGAAACCCCGTCTCTACTAAAAATACAAGAAAACTAGCCGGGCGAGGTGGCGGGCGCCTGTAGTCCCAGCTACTCGGGAGGCTGAGGCAGGAGAATGGCGTGAACCCGGGAGGCGGAGCTTGCAGTGAGCCGAGATCGCGCCACTGCACTCCAGCCTGGGGCACAGAGCAAGACTCCGTCTCAAAAAAAAAAAAAAAAAAAAAAAAGAAACACGATTGGCATGCTTGAGGAACAGCAAGCTGGGCAGGCAGGCGGCAGGCAGGCAGCAGACAGGGTGAGGGGGAGACAGATGCACAGAACCTCCTCAAAGACCCAAAAGAATAAGGCCTCAAGTCAGGTTTAATTTGCAATTACATTTGGAAAAGAGAAGGAAAGGGAAAGTTTTTAGACACGAAAATTAAAGTGGTAAAGTGTATGAGCAGTCATTAATGCTTCAGATTAGGAAAAATTAAAATGATTAGTAATATCCAATACTAGTCAGAGTATTAAGAAATAGCTTGTTTTTTCCTTTTTTTTTTTTTTTTTTTGAGAAAGAGCCTTGCTGTTGCCCAGGCTGGAGTGCAGTGGTGCGATCTGGGCTTACTGCAACCTCCACCTCCTGGGTTCAAGCGATTCTCCTGCCTCAGCCTCCTAAGTAGCTGGGATTACAGGTGTGCACCACCAGGTCTGGCTAATTTTTGTATTTTTAGTAGAGATGGGGTTTTGCCATGTTGGCCAGGCTGGTCTCAAACTCGTGGCCTCAACTGATTTGCCTGCCTCGGCCTCCTGAAGTGCTGGGACTACAGGTGTGAGCCACTGTATCTGGCCAAGAAATAGGTCATCTTGTATATGATTGGTGGAACTGTTAAAATCAAAATGTGTATGTATTCTGATCCAGTAATTTTATCTCTAGATATCTGACTTGGAGAAATAAACTCAAATATGTGGCATAAGTAATATACTTAGCAAAAACTGACAGTGACTAAAAGTACATGAATACCGGAAAAGCCCAGTCACAATATATAATGCAATACAGAAAACTGAGTAGAATCAAAGCTACTGACACGAAATGGTCAAAACTATATTGTTAACTGGGGAAGAGAAGACAACTCACCAGACGATACACGTAAGATAGCAGAGCCCCTTCATGTCAAGCATGCATGTGTGTGTACATATGTGTAATATACTGAAGAAATGCCACCCAGGATACTCATCAAATTGAAAGCTGCTTACTTTGAGGGAGGGCAATCAAAGAGATGTCTGTGTTTACTAAATGTTTTACAATGAAAATATGCACGTACTACTGATGTGTTTTTACAATAAACACTTGATTTTAGCATGTCACAGGGAGTCCAGAGACTGCTGAACACTTTTTCACTTATAATCAGGTAAGACTGAAGGAAGTTTATCCATCACCGCATGGGCAAACTATGGCTTGTCTGAGATGAAATGTAATGGGGAAATATCATTTACTGTTTTCAGGAAATGTTATTCCTCCACAGTTATTTCTCCTCTGGTCTACAGGAAATGTCAAGTTCAGTTTGGAGACAGTCATCAAATCCTCCCTCTGACAGAGACGCTCATGTGAAAACAACCTGGCTGTGACGTTTCAGAGTAAACTCTCCTCAGATAAAGAAATCACAATTAGAAATAGAAAGCCGAAAAGGTTTGGTTAAAATGTGAATTCGATCTCAAACGAAAGCAGTATCTTTAACTCTACAGTTCGTCCTCCGTATCTGCAAGTTCCAGATCTGTGGATTCAACCAGTCACAATTGGAAATATTCAAAAGAAAAAAAAATTAACACTAATTTAAAAAAATACAGTATAACAACTATTTACAAAGCAATCACATTGTATTAGGTATTTTAAGTAATCCAGAGATTACTTAAAGTACACGGGAGGAGCCAGGTGCAGTGGCTCACGCCTGTAATCCCAATTGGGAGGCTGAGGCAGGAGAATCACTTGGGGCCAGGAGTTTGAGACTAGCTTGGGGAACACAGAAAGACCCCGTCTCTACAAACAATTTTTTCTTCGGTATACAGGAGGATCTGTGTAGGTTACATGCAAATACTATGGCATTTTATATAGGGGACTTGAGCATCAGTGGATTTTGGTATCTGTGGGGGTCCTGGAACTGATCCTCTGTGGATACTGAAGGGCAACTGTATTTGTACGGCAGATTTTCCTCATAAATGACTTTGCACACTTGGATGTACGTCCATCAGACTTTTGAGATTTTTCTGGCTAAACAGAATGCAGGTATTTTGACTACAGATATAACACATTTCATTCTGAAGTAATTACCAAAGCACCTAAACGTTTGCTTGTCTCTTGGCACCTTTTAGTTTTCCCATGGCCAACCACAGTCTCTTCCATTTCCTACAAACGCTATGGAAGAAGTCATAGGATAAAATAATCTCTATAATTCACTAAAAAATGCTATGTGAAAAGAATAATATCATCAATAGCATACTTAAGACAACTCTTGAACATATTTCTAGAAGTTTTATTTTCTAAAAATAAAAAATAAAAATGAATAAATTCCTAACCGCCATTATCTACATTGATATCATGTACTTACTTTTTTTTTAATTAGGCTTGGTAAGTGTTCATTCGTATTAGCTGCAGGGAACAACGATTCATCAATGTGTGCTCCAGCTGTCCTGCATCTGTGTAATTAAATTACGGTAGTCTAATGAGTATTTGTTTCTATTATACATTGACACAGCACTAAATCTGCACATGTATTAGCAATTTAAAAAATCCATACCTAAGTCATTTTAACAGACTTAAAAAAAAAAATACAACAGCAAATACAAAAGTCAGTATAAATCAAACTTCCCCAAATCATCTCTATCTGGTGTTTAAGTATAAGAGAAGCAAGAGGCAGGTAAAGGAAGCACAATTTTTATGCAACAATTTTTGACTTGCAGCATACTTCAAAATTATTAGTGCACAGACTCATAAAGGTATGAGTAAATGCTATCAAATGGATCATTTAATAGTAAACAGGCCATAAAACAGATAATTGAGAGGTAGAAGGGATGTAAAGAAATTGAAGTCAGAGGACATCTCTTTCCTCCAAAATTAGGTTGTCCTTTTTGTTTTTCTGTCCAGACAGCACCACCATCAGCCCCAAGGCCTGGGTGTGCAACCAATGCTCTGCATTGCCAAACCTCCTCCTCCTGCCCCGTGGCCACACCTGCCATTTCTCCTGTCCACCTTCGTATCTCTGGATTCCTGTGACCCTTATCCCTTCTTAGCATTTTGTCACTCAAGTCTAAATAATTATGATTTTCTAAATGATCTCCTGCCCTACTGTTTTTTTCTCCTCTACTAATTCACTCCTACATTACTGAAATATTAATCTTAAATTTCTCCCCAACCCAGATAAAAACCTTCTGTCACTCCCATGTTTAGAGCATATTCTCACTCATTCGCTCTTTAAGTGTTTTTATAATAAGGCCTCTATTCACCTCTCCAACTATCCCTCACAGGCCTATCACTGTTCAACATCTAACACAGTTATTTGAAAAAATAAAGTATACTGCAATAAAAAAACACATATCCATATTGATACAGAAATTTCTACAAAATATATTAGGAATGAAGGAAGTTTCAGAAATATGTGCCTCTATATGGTACAGTATGGTCTATGCAGTGTGGTAAGTAACACTAGGGTAGTGAATCTCACCCTGGCGTCCCTGACCCCCTTCTGAGGGTGTGCAGAGTCAATACTATCTTTATAACAACACTAACACATGATTTTCTTTTCCTGTCTCGCGTTATTTCCTCAATATACGATGCAGTGGAGTTTTCAGAAGCAAAATGACATGTGCTATCCCAATACACTGAATGCAGAGGCAGATATGAGAAGGCAACTGTCTTCTAATAAGCCAGGCATCAGAGAAATCTGCAAAAATGTACAAGTTTAAAAAAGAATACAGTGTAGTAATTGTAACCAGAGAAGTACAACCGGCAGAAAAGCAGCAAAAAGTTTCAAAATGAGTATGGTTCAGAGAAAGCTTCAGGTCAGAGACCATCACCAGACTCAACTCTGACAAGGAGGCAGATGTGGGAGGGCACAGATCTTCCACCCGGAAGCAGAGCACAGCCTCAAGCACAGTGCAGCAAAGAGCACGACATTTTTGGGAAAACATACGCCATTTGTATGACTGAGTGAATGAATGCAAGTTAGGAGACCAGCAACAAAAAAAGAATTTATGTGATTCCAAGGGTTGTACTGTCTAAGCTAATGAGCTTGGACCCTGTCCTGTGGGCTCTGGGGTATGAGGACAGGTGTGAGGGAGGGGTCGTGGGCAGGTCACCGGTCCAGGACGAGGAGGCCAGTCAGGGACTACTGCAATAAGTGAGGCAGGAGATGCTAAAGATTCAGTAAAGGCAGTTGGGGACTAAGATGAGGAGGGGGAATCCTTAACTGAATAATATTTAGACAATAAAAATGGAAGGTTTTTGACCTCTGGTTAAATCTGGTGGTCTGAGCACATGCTTTTCTCTTGACCCCCAAAACCCCAATAAAATGACAGTAAAGGAAAACAAAAAGACATAAACCAACAAAAATAAAGAGTAGATAAGAGCTGTCTGGGGAACCGTAATCAAACAAATAAATAAAAAAAGGGAAACCCAAGCCTGGCAGCTGGGGTGGGGAGGAGTCCATCTGGAGCTCAGAACCCGGAGCTCAGAACCGCTCAAGGGCAGGAGGCACAGGTGAAGCCAGAGCACTCGGGTGGGGCAGGGGGCAGAGGACAGCAGGCAAAGGGCAGAGGGTGGAGGGTGGAGGGTGGAAGGCTGAAAAGAGGCAGCAACTCTCCTTGCCCGTGCCCACTCACTGCCACCCAGTGCCCAATGGGGGCACTGGGACCATGTTCAGATAACTGGAGCCTGAGAAGCTCTGGACTCAAAGGACACCAAGCTCAGGGAAAACAAAAAGTTTTCCATGAAAGGAAATATATTCATGGTTCACTCTGAGATTCAGCCTAACACACAGCTTCCACAGTCATAATGATGTAAACATAAACTACTGATTTAACCAAAATGTATCATGTACACTGCCATCAAGAGTGGAAAGAGCCTGCACATGAATGTGTCCATGCAAACAGCAGATGCGCGTAGGTGGGAGTGGGATGCCCTTGGAGGGGCCGATTAAAAACGAAATTCTCACTTCCCTATCAGAAAGTCACTAGATAATATCTGAAACTGAAAAACCAAAACAGCAATACAGCCACAGTATTTAGAAATATGGAGGTCACTGAACAGCTTATCTGCAGAAGCAGCCACATGTGTGAAAGGAGCTGCCTCTGGGGAACAGGAATTGAGGGTGAAAAGGGTCAAGAAAGGGACCGTTGTTTTTCATGATAAGCCTTGTAATACTGGTTCTTCGTGTGTGTGTGGGCGCGCGCGTGTGTGCATACAATGGAACATGATTCCACCATAAAAAGAAATGCAATTCTAATACAGATGACAACATGATGAACCTTGAAAACATTATGCTAAGAGAAAGAAGCCAGCACGAAGGCTGTATATTATATGATTCCGCTTATGTGAAATATCCAGAAAAGGAAAATCCACAGAGAAAGAAAATCCACAGGGAAAGAAAGTAGACTAGTGGCTGCCTTGGCTGGCGGGAGAATGGGGAATAGGGCTAAGGGGTACAAGGTTTCATTTTGAGGTGATGAAAATGTTTTAAAATTGTGGTGACGGTTGCACAACTCTGTGAATACAGTCATATGCCACATAACAACCTTTTGGTCAATGGGAGACCACATACACAACAGTGATCACATAAGGTTATAATGGAGCTGAAAAATTCCTATCGCCTAGTGACATACTGATGTTCCTAACCCCGTGTAGGCCCAGGCTAATGTGTGGCTTTGTGTCCTAGTTTTTTTTTTTTAAGTTTAAAAGTAAAAATTAAAATTAAAAAATAGAAAAAGCTGATAAAGCTGTAAGGTATTTTTATACTGCTGTACAATGTATTTTAAGGTGTTATTACAAAAGAGTAAAAAAATTTAAAAAATTACAGTTTATCATGTAAAAAAGCTATAGTAAGGCCAAATTAAAAAAAAAAATACAGCATAGGCAAGGTGCGGTGGCTCACAACTGTAATCCCAACACTTTGGGAGGCCAAGGCGGGAGGGTCAGGAGTTCAAGGCCATCCTGGCTAACATGGTGAAACCCATTCTCTACTAAAAATGCAAAAATTAGCCGGGCGTGGTGGCGTGCACCTATGATCCCAGCTACTCAGGAGGATGAGTCAGGAGAATCGCCAGGAGGCGGAGGCTGCAGTGACCCAAGATCACGCCACTGAACTCCATTCTGGGCAACAGAGTAAGACTCCATTTCAAAAAAAAAAATACAGTATAATAACTATTTACATAGCACTCATATTGTATTAGGTATTATAAATTACCTAGCGGTTTTTCCCCCCCTACCACACATAATAGAGAGATAGGTTACATACTTATGGGAGGAGCCAGGGGCAATAGCTCCTGTGTGCAATCCCGACATTTTGGGAGGCAGAGGTGGGAGGACCGTTTGAGGTCAGGAGTTGGAGACTAGCTGGGGCAATGTAGCAAGACTGCCATCTCTACAAAAATAAATAAATAAATAAATAATTAGCCAGTCATAGTGGCACACACCTGTAGTCCCAGCTCCTCAGGAAGCTGAGGCAGGAGGATTGCTTGAGCCTAGGAGGTTGAGGCTACTGTGAGCCATAATTGTGCCACTGCACTCCAGCCTGGGAGACAAAGCAAGACCTTGTCTCTAAAAAAAGTTATAGTATCAGTTAATACAGTTGCTCCAAAAAATATACATCCAGTGTAACCTAAGTGTATGACAAGTATAAAGTCCATAGTAGTGTACAGTAGTAATGCCCTAGTCCTTCACATTCGCTCACCACTCACTCAACGACCCAATCACAGCAATTTCCAGTCTAGCAAGCTACATCCATAGTAAACGCCCTATATAGGTGTACCATATTTTATCTTTTATACCATATTTTTACTGTACCTTCTCTATGTTTAAATATTTCAGAGACACAAATACTTACCACTGTCTTACAAATGCACATGCTGTAGAGGTTTGTGCCTAGGAGCAATAGGTTGTGCCACAGAGCCTAGGTGTGCAGTAGCTATGTCATGCAGGTGTGTGTAAACACACACTATGATGTCTGCACAACAAAATCACCTACCTATTCATTTCTCAGAAGGCATCCCTGTCGTTAAGCAATACCTAACTGTATATTTAAAACCACTGAATTGTACACTTCAATTGGGCAAATTGTGTAGCATGCGAATTAGATCTTTAAAACAATGTTGGAAAAAAAGAAAAAACATGACATACCACTACACATCCGCTCGAATGGCTAAAATTCAAAAGGTGGATAAATTACAAGTATTGGTGAAGACGTGGAGCGAATGGAACCCTCACACTGCTGGTGGGAATATACAGTGCCATTACCGCCTTGGAAAAGTTTGGGTAATGACCCAAGAGAAATGAAAGCATACAAAGACACAAACGTAAATGTCCATTGTAGCTTTATTCATAATAACCTAAAATGGAAAACTAGCCCAATCTCCATCAACTGGTGGCACCGTGCTACATGCTACATGCTACATGCCTGCAATAGAATACTACTCAGCTATAAAAG